CTAGCTTTAGGAGAATACTAACAGGGTCATAAGATACGATAAAACCTAGTAATATGTTTCTATTCTACAGAGGAAAAAGCATCTTCCTTACTCTGCTTCAAGAAGAGGTTGTCAGTCAAGATAGAAATAGAAGTCAACCAAACCTTTAACCATTTTTGGCACACACATCCTTCTTCTACAGGAAGTCTAAAGGTTATCATTCTAGCAACATACTAGACAAAAGAAGAAAAGCAAGAAAGAATGTATACAATTTATGTTTATGTAAATGCCACTTACATATACGCTAGTAATGAAAGAGGACACTAAGGTGAAAGCAGTTTAACATTATTATATTTATATTTTAGTAGGCAGATGCATGTAAGAATAGGACAAGCAAATATATTTTTTAGTAATTAAACTATCATCTGGAGAAAAAAACATTTGCTGTATTAAACAAGTTACAGGGGAAATCAGAACCTTTCTACAGATTTGTCATAAACCTAAAATTGTACTTACATATGACCTAACAGATTTTAAGCTGACTCATGAGACTTATCATTTCTAAAGAATGGTACCTGACTAATTCTGAGGTGACTCTGACAGAAAGGCGTAACAGAAAGCATTACTTCTGTTCCCTTTTTCTTTCCAGTCTTGAAGCATGCAAACTCATTTTGGGAAACTACCCAACACAATAGGTCACCTGGGAAATGCGCAGTTGAAAGACCATTAAACTGATATTCCTATAGGATGTACATGAAAGTGTACACCATTATGCATGCACAAGATTGTCTTTTCTGGTACACATTGCAAACATTATCCAAACAAAACCCCAACCACCTCAGCTCCAACATATAGTCTGTTTGAATGCAGAGGTTTGCTTAGTCATTTTTAGATGAGGTCAGCTATACTGATGACATGACTCAGAGTTCTGAGGCACTTGGCCTTGTTAAGCTGGCAGGGAAACACTTTGTTCTCCTGTTTTCAGAGGCATTCATAGAGCTCACTTGCAGAAGCCATCCTGACAGAAAAGGCTTTTTTTCAGTTCCTTTTCTGGTAAAATAATCTGATTTTAAAACATGCACCTCATATTTTCTTGAAATGATATTTAGCAGAAAAAAAAACCTCATCATTTAAAACACCTTCAGTGTAACAATGTATCAAAGAATGCTAAATAACTGAATTAAGACAAGGTGTATAATTTATGTATCAGAAAACTGTGAATAGTTAGCACTTTATCTGTTGATTTCTCAAACAAACTAATAGTAATGATCTGACTAAAAACTTAAAGGTGGTTTTCATTAGGACCATTTCTTATAGTGTGGTACATGTTCAGGAACTGGCCTTCATATTGTGCTGGCACAGATCACAGAATTCCAGCTCTAAGCAAGGGAACAAGAAACTCAGAAAGGTCCAGTCTGGGGAAGACTTTGGCAAAGGTCTGAATAATCAAGCACAAGTTAGGTCTTCTAACTCTTTGCATTTAGAATAGAATAGTGTAGTACAGTTGGAAGAGACCTTCAGAGATGATCCAGTCCAACTTCATGGCTAACCAAAAGTTAAAGCATGTCACTGAGTGCAATGCTGACAAATATGGGCATCAACCACCTCACAAGAAAGCTTGTTTCAGTGTTGGGCCACTCTCGTAGTAAAGAAATTTTTCCTAATGTCTAGTCTGAGCCTCCTCCAGTGCAGCTTTGGGCTCTTGTGTTCCATCAGCACTACACCTAATTCTTCAAGAGTTTATTTATACATATAGATACACTGCTGATTTTTTGGGTTATTTGGTTTCTCCTTCAACAGGACCAAAAAACATAAAAGTCCCATCCCCTTCGCAATTGTTCATGCCATTTTGCTATCTATGCCTTGGGATTTTGCCTTCTCTCAATCTCAAAAGTACCTCACAGAGGAAGTGTGCTATGAATGTCATAACATGTAAGGAACTAATCTTAAAGAATGACAGATAATCTTTCTTTCACCTCCGAGTGTTTGTCTACATAAATGTTTACTGTGAACAACACCCATCACATATTAACTTATTAAGGAAAATATCCCAGTGTGGATAGCTGAAATAAAACAGAACTGTCCCAAATATGACATCATTTTGAGTGGTTTCACAGCACTGTAACTGTCAAGGAAACAGTGAAAGATTAGAAACCTGACCCCTTGGATGTGTCAGTTGAAGACATAGGCATATGAGTAGTTATAAGGCTGGTCAGTATAAAAAGATCTAACATTTCAAAAATGATTCAGCCCTGACAACTTGTGGAAAAAGTAATTCATGGACACATAGGAAAAAATAAAAATATAATTTAAAAAAATATTGAAGGCAATCCTGACTGTGCAGCTACTTGTCTTGCATAAGAAAATCTTACTTGTCTACATAATACAGAGGAGCCATCACAGTGGCCTGGCTGTCGCCCTTCCAATGGGCAAAGTGATAACTTCCAGAGAGGTCATGAACACTATGTCCAGGGCTTTTCCATACAAACATTTAGGTTATTTAAGCACACAGCTCATGGATCATGAAAAGACAAAGACAAAAGTCATTGTACATGACTCCATCCAAAAGTCATCACTTAAAGCCCAAAAGAAGTCAGTGTCATAGAAAGAAAATCAAACAAAAAACAAAGAGAATGTTTCCATGCAAATGTGAAACAGAACACACAAACAAGACACAATATTAGAGTCAACAGAAGTTGCTATACCAGCTGAATAAAGATCCTCTGCCATCTTAGCCTCATAAGCAAGACGGATAGAGGTACTGGGCACATTTTACACCTCTGTAGCTGCATGCATGGAGCAAAGATGGGTAGGACTTACGTATGCCTTATGTGGACTGCTGCCCGTCACAGCATGAAAGCACGTATGAGCACCGTGTACACACAGTGTGAATGACTATGTCCACAAAGACTTAGAAAATAAAGACACCTCTGAGACATTAGACTTTTCTCTCGCACAAAGCTTCCCCATTGCTATCTGTGCTGCAATCATGTCTGACAGATACAATCAAGGTCTTTGCCACAGTGCTGGATTTATTTTGCATGAATGCAGATATAAAAGTTGCTTACTTCCTTTGTAATAACAGTTTCAGAAAAAAGTCATGACCAGATGGTCAAATAAAAGGTGGTAACAGCCCTGAAGTGTTCAGGCATATTTTTACAAAATGGGGGAAAAGGACACTGGTGAGAGGTGCATATAAAACCACCTATCTTCTGAATCACTAGTTTTTGTGTGTGTGGCAAATACCTGTTCAGCTTGTCTGTTTCTCAAGCTTTGTCCTCCCACCCCTGGCAAATTTTGTTTAAAAAAAAAAAACAAAAAAACAAAACAAAACAAAAAAAAAACCCATCAACTTTTAAAAAAAGAAACCTCTTTTTAAAATTATTTTTTATTTTTATTTTTAATGTCCCAACCCGCAAAACTTGCTAAAAACAAGAACAGTGAAAATGTGGAGATCATTTTTTCTGACTTCCAATCTGAACCTCCCTTGCTGCAATTTGAGGCTATATAAGAAACAAAACTACTTTACTTACTTCCTTACTTATTATTAAAGCATAATATTTATTTATTTATTAAAGCATAAAAAATTGGGACAGCAAATCATACAATTAGCAAGATGGACATGTAGGATTTAACCCAAATAATGAATATTGCTTTTGCTCACTAGCGGAGGTGAGCCTTTCAGTGAAACCTCATTCAGTAGAACCTTAATTTCAGTTCTTACTGTTAGGGATGTCCTACTGAAGTTCAATATTTTAGCGTAAACAATGCTGTGAAAACATAGCTGGATCATGGCCGTCATGAAGATCGATAATCCCTGTATTTACCCACAGATACAAGCCATATTCCAAGAGCAGTTTCAAAGAGCAAAGTACTTAATTCCCACCTAGATCAGACAAAATTAATTTCCTTTGTAAGAAGATATCAGCATTGCATTCTGGAATAGTAGGCCTAAAGAGTTACTAATCTTGTCTGAATCAGAAGAGATCCAATAGATATAACCATGACCCCCCACAAAGGCATCATTGCTCTTATACATCCATTTTGTATTTGTCTGACATGCTGTGTTTTAGGTCATTTTATGATGCTGCACTACCTGTAGAGTCACTCATTTTAAGATGGCATAAAGAGAGAAAAAGAACTAAGAAATATCCTGGACTGGATCTAAATACTGTACAAATCTTGAAGACTGAGAATAAGCTTTCTTTGCCTCTTATATTATTGTCAGCAAATCCACGATGCTAACTGTAGCAACTCAGCCATATTAAAAATATTCTTTGAATATTCGTTGAATTTTTGTAGTGGTTCCATGATGGAACAAGCAGGAGAACTGTAAGATAATCTCACATTTTGTAGATGTCCAATAAGAGGATTAAAAATGTATTCAATTAAGGAAAAAAGATAAATATATTTCCTGCACTTCTCATGACAGTAGACAATACCTTAGGAAAAAGGGATATCTCTTTCTCCAGTACAGGAAAATGAGATCAGTTTGCATCCCTGCTACCTATCAAGACAGTAGAAATCAATGGCTTTCTCAGAAAAGACTGCCAGTAGAGAATCTGATCCAAGTGACATAAGCAAAGACAAAGTAGTTACAAACCTGGAAAAGTGGCAACTATACAGAGATTCTGATAGAAAGAACAGAGACATAAGAGGCAGGAAACAATTAAATGAATCTACCAAGAAATGTTTAAGCAATGAACAAAGAGTTGAATACATATGAATAAGATATTGATCTGATAAAATCAATGTGCTGGAGCATGCTCTTCTTGCAGTATCTCTCTCATCGAATAAGATAAGTCCCAGTGGGAAACATGTTGATAGAGCAGACTGTAATAGCCCACTGGCTCCACAGTCCATAGCAGATGACAACTTTATGGATAATCAAAGGCAGGGCCTCCCTCCAGAATGTAATATTACTGGCAATTCCCCGTGAAGCACAGACAAGAACTCCAAGGCCATACGTAACATCCTTGGACACCTTTTCATACCTCTTTCTCCTTCCTTGTCTCCTCCAGGAATTAACAGAGTGTCAGCACCCCTGGGTCACAGCGCTGTGATGACCTGCCCTAACAAAACAAATATAACTATGGTAACATGGAAAATAAGCCCCAAGACTGGAGGCCAATGCATCTTGGCACACCTGATTGGTAGTAACAAGACAGAAAAAACCAACTGCAGTGACAGAATAAACTGGAGATCCAGACCAGACTGGGATCATGCACTTGAGATACAGCAAGTAGGAATGGCTGATGAGGGAAATTACACCTGCGAAGTGGTAAATGCAGATGGGAATTTCCATGGCCTGCATCACCTGACTGTGCAAGGTAAGGGTCTCCTTCCTCATTTCACTGTTCTCCAGAGGACCGTGTCCAGGCCTGGGCAAACAAAGCTCCTCTCCTTGTGCGTGGGAGGAAGTTTAGGGTAAGAAGAGGAGCTTTCTCATGGCTAGAAAGGGTCATGCATTTCATGTAGAGTAACTGTTTCTTCCCTTTTCTTATTTGCCAAAATTCTTCTTTCTTCTTCCTATAGAGTTACAAGTAACAGGTGTGAAGCAATTTTCAAGACACAGAAGGATTTTGCATGGGTAACATGTTATTTTGTAGTAACTCAGTAATACATTAATTTTTCTAAAGCATATAAGATAAACAACTATAAGTACCAAGATATCCTATCAAACACATTATGTTAGTACTCAGATAGGAAGAACAGCATCATTTCCTCCTCAGTTGGCATTCCAATCCATCTTAAGCTATGACTCTGATGTCTCTTGGGACAAAAGACTAATTCAGGCCTGTATTCTGGGGTATTCCCTACCTCCATGTCCAGGAATACCTCCTCTCAAGGCACGTGGCTGTAGTAGCTCACTTGAATGTAGAAGAATTGTCCAGAATGAAAAAAGATATGCCCTTGTCTCCTGTGGCTTTGGAACACATTGCTGTGATGAGATGGCACTTCCAATTCCCCTGTTCTCACTACGATCCCTTTGGATAGTCGATAAAACCTCCTGTCCCACTGCAGCAACCCACACGCATCTCCCCCCTTCCTGGTGCTCTGCAGTTTCCCCGAGAATGGCTCTGTACTGCGATGACCACGGGAACCCTGTGTGCGAGGCAGAGACAGAGAAGCCGGCTGCTGAGATCTCGTGGGTCCCACAGAGCAACTCCACACCCAGAGCAGACAGTCACAGTAACGGGACAGTGACAGTTCTCAGCAGGTTTGCAGCACATAGCAGCGATGGGAAGAATCCTACCTGCATCGTGTCCCACACAACTCTGAACGAGGCCAAGTCCATAGACTGCTCCTCACGTAAGCTTCCCTTTGTGTGCTCAGTGTTCAAAGTCCCATTTAACCCTCTCTTCACATTCTTGCTCTACAGCTAAAGAAACCTACAATCAAATTCTATATAGATGAGTGCCATCCCATACCACTTTTGCTCATAAACTTTGACAGTTTGTTTGCATTCCAGACACTATTTCCAAGTGGTTTCTTCCCTAAGACGGAAGTACATTGATGCATTAGTGTTATTTGGGTATTTGGAAAGCTGTAGGAAGCAGCATCAGAGTGGACATGCTCTTATTGTTAAAATGCAAATGATCTCCTGTTCGGATCATGGTAAGAGAGAGAAAGAGACCCAACTACCATATATCTAGAAGAAACAAACAAATCATTTTGAGTTGTGAATATCTGACACAGTAAGATTGGTTTCTGCATTTTGTTTCGAATTTTTTTTTCTTTAATTGGATAACTACATGTGAATTGCAATATGGAGATATGCAGAGTCCTTGTGAGAGGATCATCCACAACTTAGTGCATAAATGTCATGAGTTGTCCACTGTGGAATTTGGGCCATCTGCTTTTGTTTCTGACACAAACCATGTTTTCATTTCTCAGATAGCTTTCATTAATGACTTTCCTTTTTGCTAAAGAGGATTATATTTTACAAGCATGCTGAAAATGTATATATTAAAGCAGCTTTAAACTTACTAAAGAAACAGAAGTAAGAAGACATAACTAAGACTAACTCATTGCATTTAGCACACAGATATCTTATCCTGTGCATAGCCATCGTTCTCAGTTTCCTGATCATCATCACGTTTGCGGCTGTCATTTACTATTTAAAGCTCCATGGTTACAGGTATGTACAAGATGGGGCTAAGGAAAACTCATCTGGTGTTAGCAGAAAGCTTTAAATACTGTTTGTGTCTTGAAATCAAATGATTCTGTCTCTCTGTGCTGCTCATGGTAACCACTATGGGTGAATTAACTATATCAAATATTTTGACTTTCTACTGCAGTAATTGTGCATTGCACACATCTTCACTGAATAATGCCCCTGAGTAAAACATAGATGGTTAGATGTTGGCAAGCAATACTCATTATACTGCATGCTGCACTGAATGGAAACTTCATTCTGTCAGGAAACTGGCAGAGTAAATGCAGTCTTCAGGTACTGTGAGAGCCTGTCAGTGTCTCTCTTGTTCACATCAGAGGATTAATTTCTCTTCCACTAAGCTTTATCAAGTGCCAGAGGATTCATCAGTGCTATCCTGCCATATCAACTGATGGGGCAGCAGGTTTTATACGTATTTTGAACAAGATCTCTGGGTGAAGCTGAATTCTACACCCTTTAGGATTTGGAGTGGAGAAGAAAGCAGTCCCATGGAAAAAGAATATAAAAATAATTTGTGCAGATAAAGGCTAATTAGCACTTGACTGAACACTCCTGATAAATTCTCTCTGTCTCCTATTCCTAAACTGGCTTTTGTTCCAACTTTCTCCCAGAGATGAATAATTAGTTCAGTACAAATTCACTAAGGACAAATTGTGCATCCTTCCAGAGGATGACATTTGTTTTAATGCTTATTTTCTTTCTCACAGATTCTGTCGCAAAACCAAACCTCCTGATATTGTTCCTACATATTCCTTGCAGGTAAGGAGATTAGCCCATCACTAAATCAGGGATTTTCTAATAGCCTTGAAAACATGGTCAAGTAAGAGAAACCCTAAGATTTTTATTTTTTTAATTATTATTATTTTTTCAGTTGGCAATATTATGTCATATACTTTTGAATGTAGCTGTATCTCAGTATTGTCACCACCATAATTCTGTCTTGGAGCAAATATTAGCAGCATGTTTCAACAGCAAAAACTCAATAACTGCTATCTTGTATTATTGTAAGGAGCAAGTCCCACGGCATCTTCCCGGCCATATGAGATACACTGGTCACAGGTGTTGTATTAACAATACCCAGGAAGGGGGGCAATTTTGTGGATTGGGGAATACTAAGAAAGATTGTAAATAAAATGATTAAACAACAAGACAAACACAGGAAAGCATGCACAGAAATTGTGAGACATATATATTGTGCTTCTCCATGTAGCTACAGTAGATTCAAGGCTCAAATTCTCACATTTTTAAAGTACTTCAGCTTAGATTTCTGAAATGACTTAGCCAATTCTAGCTATTTTTGTTATTTATCTTCTGCTGCCCTGCCTCTTAATTGTTGCTGACAGACACAGTTTCATAAATGTAAAATAACCAGTTATATACCAGTCTTGGTGTTGGCACACTTTCATTAGTGTGGACCCTACACAGTTATCACAGAATCATAGAACAGGTTGGGTTGGAAGGGCCCTTCAAGGTCGTCTAGTTCCAACCCCCTGCTATAGGCAGGAACACCTCCCACTAGACCAGGTTGCCCAAAGCTCCATCCAGCCTGGTCTTCAACACCTCCAAGGTGAGGGGTGTCCACCCTACCTAAGCAACTTGTTCCAGTATCTCACAACCCTCACAGTAAAGAATTTCTTCTTAACATCTACTCTAAATCCATCCTCTTCCAGTTTAAAGCCATTTATCCTTGTTATGTCACTACAAACTTATATAAGACATCCCTCTACAGTTTTCCTGCATGCCCCCTTCAGGTAATGGAAGGCCACTTTACAGTCTCTCCGGAGTTCTCCCTTCTCCATGCTGATGAGCCCCTCCCAGCTCTCTCAGCCTCTCCTCATTATGAGAGGTTCTCAAGCCCTCTGATCATCTTCATGGCCCACCTCTCGACCATCTCCAAAAGCTTGATGTCCTTCTTGTGTTGGGGAGCCCAGAAAGGGGCATATGACTCCAGGTGGGGTCTCATGAGAGCAGAGCAGAAGGGCAGAATCACCTCCCTCGACCTGCTGGTCATGCTTCTCTTGATGCAACCCAGGATATCCTGCCTTCATGACACCCCATCTGGAGTACTGTGTTCTGGTCTGGGGCCTCCAGTACAGGAAAGATGTAGAGCCGTTGGAGAGGGTCCAGAAGAGGACCACTAAGGTGACTAGAGGGCTAAAGCACCTATCCTATAAAGATAGGTGAGATAGGAGGGAGCTGGGCTTGTTCAGCCTGGTGAAGAGAAGGCTGCTGAGAGCCTTGAGGCAGTCTGGTCTAGTGGTTGGCAATCCTGCCTGTGGCAGGGGGTTGAAACTAGATGATCTTTGAAGTTCCTTTTCAACCCAGGCCATTCTATGATTTTATGATTCTATGAGACCTCACTGCAGCTTCTCAGTATTTAAAAGGTGATCATAAAAAGGAAGAGAATCAACATTTACTTGAGTAGACAGTGACAGGACAAGGGGGAATGATTTTAAGCTCAAGAAGGGAAGATTTAGATTGGATGCTGGGGGAAGTTCTTTACAGAGAGAGTGGTGATGTGCTGGAACAGGCGCCCAGAGAGACTGTGGATGCTCATCCCTGGAGGTGTTCAAGGCCAGGTTAGGTCGGCCCTGGGCAGCCTGGTCTAGAATCAGATCTGGAGGTTGGTGGCCCTGCCTGGGGTAGGGGGTAGGAACTTGATGAACCTTGGGGTCCCTTCCAACCCAAGCCATTCTATAATTCTATGATACAATTTGGCCTTCTGGGCTGCAAGTGCACACTGCTGGCTCATGTTGAGTCTTTCATCAACAAACATCCCCAAACCCTTCTCCTCAGGGTTGCTCTCAAGCCATTCTCCACTCAGCCTGTATCTGTGCTTGGAATTGCCCTGACCCAGGTGCAGGAGCTTGCATTTGGCCTTGTTGAACTTCATACTTTCTTCATTCCAGATGAAAAGCTTGCAGTGACTTGACAAAATAAACTACTTTCTGTATTCACAATTTTTGGTTTTGTTTTACTAGGATGACACAGTGGAGGTGGAACCTTATACTACGTATGTGCAGAAGGAAAATGCAATTTACAACTCAGTATCTGATCTGACATTGAGGCAGAATCTTCCACAAGGACAGTCACCAGCAACATGAGTGATTCAGCAACACTGGAAAGGGGAGAGACGATTTCTATTACTAAGACAAGTCACAGAAAGAAATTTCTCAAAGCATTTGGCCAAAGTGGGAGGCGACATAGCTCACTAGGTCTCTTTAAAGATATATGTTAATCGATGAGTCTGCATAGTTCTTTTTTTTTTTCCCCTCTTTTTTGCCTTCCTCATTGGTAAAGGAAAGAGATGTCCTTTTTTTCCTAAGGAAAATCTCACTGACATCAAGACATAGTTTTTCCTGGAAAAAATACGCTATGATTGGTTTTCCCTTTGCTGTTCTTGCATTGGACATTCTAGTTTTGTTGGTCACTTCTAGGCATTACTTCGATACTCTTGACACTATGTTGCATACATTTGGGAGATGGGGAGAGTGTTTAAGTCAAACACCCTTCAGTTAGCAGCCACTTTTTCCTAATTGACAAATGACTAACATAATGGCTCTGATCATCACAGAACATTTTGCCTAGCAAAAGGTATCAGTAGGGAAGAGCTTCAATCTCTCTGCTCTGAAAATGGAAATGAGTCATGAACGTACAAGTTCATTCACTAAAAAAAGAGACATCACTAGCATGCTGATTTAACTCGTTAGGTTTATGCTCAGTATTTCCACTAAACCTGTCCGTTTGGTTAGTCAGATATTGCTTTGATTACTTTTCTATAAGACTATCTGGAGATGGGGTCTTCTTAAATGTATTGGCATTAAAGTAATGTAAAAGAATTACATTACTCAAATCTGGTAAGCTATTTTTTAACAGAAATTAACTTCAAGTATTTCGCAATGAAAAGTTCAAAATATTATCTATAACTGTGCAATAATGTACTAAAAGGACAAAGCTCCTGATGATTGTGATATTTATTTTAAGTGCAACTGGAGATATTTTACTCATATGTCTAGATCTTTCATTATTTTTTTTTTAATGTAACTGCAAGTCCCCTTTGTTGCATGTAAATTAGCTTGTATATTTTAAAGTGTCTCATGTTAAGGTGATTTCTTCTCATCTTCCCAAAACATATTTTCAGAATAAGTAATATATATATATATATCTAAACTAGCAGCTCTCAAGATTTTTTGACTGATGTCTTACTAACTAATGTATAAACTGGTTTACAGTAACAGTAAAGAGATCCATTTGTAAATTTCTGTTTACTGCCTTTTCTTTCAGTATTTGAAAAGACAGAATGAGTAGCTGGCCTGATGGTAGGATGAGAAGAACAGGATTTTTCCTTTAGATCACAGAATTCTCTTTCTCACATGTTGCTAGAGTTCTCTTTTGAGGTAGTCTCTTGAGGGCTATGCTTAGAAAACAGACTTCTACATTGACTGAAGTTCTTTGAATGCATTACTCATGTAAACTGATGTGATTATTGATTTTCACTCTATGAGCTGTGAAACAGCTGCTTTTGTCCAAGTGTTCATATGTATGCAAGTATTGCTTTTCTCCATTTCATTGTCATTTTGAAATGTGATGGATCAAAGCTGCACAATGAATTTAGCATACTGAAATATAAATCAGCTACAGACATGAAGGTCTAAATAAACTCCAATTTCCAGTGTCTTCCCAAAGGAGAGAACCAGTCAGTCATGGTCCTCTAAAATTTCCCTCTTTAAATAGGTGTAATGCTGTCTGAGTGACCTTTCTTTGCATTGCAAACAACCACCACTTCTCAGATTTTTTCCTACGGACTGGAAAGTCATTTATGTTGTTCAGTGTCCATAAAATGGGTTTCATCCTGTGGGGCAGCTGTTTTTCAAGGTAGATTCTTGCCAGTTTATATGCAATATATTAAATCTATCCAAGTACAGAACCTGCTAATCTGCTGTCCAGCTGCAGGGTTTTAAGATTCTTTACAGGTCCATTACACTGGACTAAACATGTATGATTCAGACCTAGATTTTGCTAAGTTGCTAGCTGATCAATTATCTCCTTTGTCCTCTACTTTGTTCCACCATCAGGCCATCAGGCCATGCACTCTGAGGCAAGAGTCAGTAGGCTGTTGATGGTGGCATGAATGTTTTCTGACCTGAAGCTCAGTGCAGCCAAGGGCTAGAAGGCCCAATCAGTCAACACAATAAATAATCTTGCCCTTTCATGTAGACAGGAAGGCATTTTTTGTGCCTAACTGATGAGCATAGCCAAGGATACAGGCAGATCCTCTACAGTAATTTGACAGAGAATAGGCTTTTGCCCATACTTTGTGACTGTGATAAATACATACAAGCATCTCAGGTACACATATGTATAAAATCATCTTTCTTTCAAGAAGCACTGAATCTTCCTTCCTCCATTCCTCATTCTCTATCAGGCTACTTGCTATTTCTCTTTGCAGTGTACTGCTATTGTGCTACAGTCATCCTCCATACCAAAATTTCTTTATCTATTACTGGTCAGACAATCCTACCCTCTAAAACTTCCCAGCATGTTACAGAGTCGGAAGAAAGTTAGCAGCTTTTCAACTGCTTTCAGAAGTTTTGGTTTCCACCACATTTATCAAGGATCAATAACCTTGTGCTGCAACATTTACTTCTGCTTAATTTTATTTCCCACCTTAGCTGCTGTATTTACACACATACAGTGCAGTCTCTTGCTAGTTCACAACTGCCATTCCTGCTCTAATCAGGCAGTTAATAATCATGGTTATCTTATGACTATAAAGAACCCTGAACACTGAGCTTACATGCACTGAAAGTCAGCAGGTGCTGTGACGCTCACTGAAGAACAGCAGCTTCCTTCAGAATAAGGGCTTATTTTTTAAGATAAGACTGACAGTATGAAAAAATGGATGCACTATAAACCCTGCAACTGATGAAAGCTGCAAAACATCAGTTATTGGGACTCTCTAACCAGAAATTATTTCATGGGTACGGAGTCAACCCCTCCACCACTCATTACAGCAATATATAAAATTTCATTAAAACACAACTTCTAGCAGAGTCGTCATTATATGACCACTTACCTGCTTCACACAGCTTTCCTAACGTGACCCATTAACTGTTCAGCACTCCATCAGGTTTCAGGACTTACAGCTCCTCTCTCCTGCCAGTATCACCTCCTTGTACTTGTGCTTTACTATCCACAGTCTAGTTTTTAATCCTGATGTCTTTTCTGGGTTCCCTTGTTCGGTGTGTGACTGCCCCGCTGTTCTGCCCAGCTTACTGCCAGATATGAATTAAAATGAGTTCAACATCTTCTGTTTTCATCATTCTGGAAGATAAATGTAAATTTTGACATTAGAGCTGGATGTCTTTCACATGAGCACTGACATGGGCACTTAACTGCAGATGTAGAAGGGACTTCTTTTTATATATAGAGAGAATGACTGCATTTCTTTACACAAATCTAGGAAAATCTATTGGCAAGGGACTGATAAATAAGTTTCAAGAAACAGTAATTAAAAGAAATGCAAAAGTTCTGAAATCTTTATAAGCAGTGTAAGAAGCGATTCATATTCTATTGGTAGGGGAAGAGAAGTATGCAATGCAGTTAGTCATAGCTAGAAAGCAAAAACACAGTTCGAGAGGAGAAAACAAATTCACAGAAATTACTAAGCAGAATTACGTTACGTTACTGAGTATATTTCACTAGTCACTACATCAGAAAGGCTTCCATAGCCTGTTCTGTTCTCCCTGACATTCACTACTGAGAAAGTATCTCTCTCTGGCAGACTAAAGGTGACAAATGTCTTTAACCACATGTTAAATTTAAAAATAATTACACTTTTTCTCATTTAACACAGATGGGACATTCCTTGGCTAGGAAACTGCATAAACATTTAGAAGGCTACCTCAGTGTTTTCCTTCACACCCCAAACAATGCCTTTGTGTAACTTCTGCAATGACATCTGTTCATTAAAAATGACATTATTTAGAATATGGGCATTCTGGAATTGCTGCTTACTGGACAGATCAGATTGCATTGTCATTCCTTTATGGTATCCAAAGTCTGTCATCACGGCCCCTTGGTATAGTTAAAACTGTAAGCATTACAAGGCAAACACTATATTTAGGCCCTGAATTTGCTATCAGATTGTACAGAGGGATCCAAATTCAAAACAGGGACTCCAACACAGTGTGAAAATATGAATAACACAAAGAAGCTACAAACTGAGCTAGAGGGGAAGTATGTTTGTCACATATTATGACTCACGCTATCCATTTTGCTCAAACACAGATCTTGTTTGTGTAAAAAGCTTCCTCACTGATTGGCACCATCAATCTCACCATACAAAAAACTTGAGAATTCACAGCTGTTTTTGTCTGCCACAATTCTGCTTGGAATTAGAGCTGTTTCACACATACTGGATGCAGGTAGCACCTATATCAGCAATGCTACACAACAACACCCTAGCCTGAGTCATCAAACTCAGAACACTGTTCTAATTGCTTTAATCTTTCTAAGAGTATATTCTTATCACATTGCATACCAGACTCACTTTTTTTCCCACAGTTTCTCTCTTACCTTCAGTCATTATTGTCTAGGTGTTATTACTAGCTTTACCAATCAGTAATCTGTAAAACATTAATTAACTTACAAGGCCATGGTGGGCAGATGCACATAGTCAGCTTCTGTCTGGCAATATCAATACACTTGCTCTACAATAGCTGCACTCCAAGATCTAGGTGCCTGAGGCCGTGCCTGCTCAAGGTGCATGTAGACTGCTGATAAGTCCTTGTAGGTTTACTACAACTTATAGAAGTCAAGGCACATCAGAAGACCTACACCTCTAGGCTGAAGGCTCTTCTACCTTACGATCTGCGTCTGTCCAACTGAAAACACAGGCTCTGTGCTGATTCTGTAACAAAACCTTCTTCTGGGGTGAGTTAGGATAAAATGTTGCTGCTGTTAAGAGGAAATTTGAAACTCAGGCTGACCCACAAAATATAAAAAGGCCTAAAAAGAGAAGTTCTTTTGATGCCCTATTTTGGCATCAGGTATCTTGGTCTTCGGCCTCACACCTCTAAGGCAGAAGCTCATGTGTCACTGTGGTAAATGATAGTATAGAGAGGAAAGAGTGAGTTCACAGCCTTGCTACATAATGTTATTAAACTTGATTCCACTTGATCAAAATCTGTGGAGTTTTTCCCTTCCTCTCAAAGCCTCACCATTGTTTTTTTAATATTATTTTTTCTAGCTTAGCATGTTCAGGTGATATATCCTGGGAATAAGAAACATTCCAGCTATATCCAGATGAAAACAGCTATACAGGGAAATAAGTTAAAACCTATAATGACCACTAGATGACAGTTTCACCTCATCCTCTGAAAAACACTGCCACAGGAGGAATAGTCGTTCTCCATATATTCTCTCACTGGATTTGGGATTTTAGTGATTCTTTTTTCTTACATGTGGAGCTTCTTTTGTGACACGAGGTTCTTACTTCAAAAAAAAAAACAACACATTTTCCTGAAGGTGACACAACAGTGCATATAAAACAATAGTGGCATATAAGGCAATTCTGAATGCAGCAAATACAGTATAATATTCACCAACAAGCTCATTCAAAATTGATTACTGACATCCCTATGGTATACACAAAATCACAGTTTTTAAAGTAGCTTTTTTGTACTATTGTAAGTTCTGATGGGATAGAGAAGAGAATGGGGAAAAGCCAGTAGGATATCGACAGGTGGGGCATTAAAAGGCATATTGGGAAGATGGAGGAATTAATGAGAATTCAAAGGACTGCAGTTAAAAGCAGTGGATTCTCTCCTTTTTCAGCACCCCACCTTCTCAGTGGGAAGGCTCCTATTCCTTTTTATTACAGGAATCCAAATCCATCTACAGCCTGACACCCACAGCTAATTCTCTCCTGTGACCCCACTGGTTCCCAAACCTCCTGGACTGCTCTTTTGGGAAAGGAAGCAGGTGGGTGTGAGGTCCCAGTGGAAATGCAACAAAGGACAGAGGCGTATGGCCTAACTACTCTTGTTGCTAGTAGGATCAAAAAGGTGCAGACAGTAAAGCAGAATGGCATCTGCTTCAGTTGTTATTCAATTCAGACAATTGTTGCTTATGTTCTAGGTAAAATAAACATCTGAAGTCAGCTTTGGCCAGATTTCCTACTCTTTTCCCTCAGCACACACCTGTAACCCAGAACACCACACAACATACAAAGAGATTGAATCCTATTGTGGGATCCTCTGGTACCACATGTGTGCTGAGCTTAATCTCCATCTTCCAGTTTGGAAAGAGGAAAAGGAAATGGGTAAGAGACCACTGCATACCACCTCAGTGAATGAGAATCATCAAAACCTGATGGAAAGCATGATGGAGAAAGTAGGCAGAGGCCACATTTTCTGCCTTCATGAAAGATAAAACTGGAGAGGATCTTGAAAACTAAGGGGAGTTTATGCTGCCTTTTTAATTGTAGGGTCTAGGCATTCCCACACTGCTATGTGTAGTCTTTCTTTCTAAAGAAAACCCTATAAAACATGTCCAAGAATTTATATTCAGAAGAAAACATAAGTATAGAAACCTGGTAGGAATGTTTCTGTCATCAACTCTTTGCCCTTACATCTGTATCTTTCATGGCTCTCTCACACTGAGAACCATGCATCAAATATATATATATTTTAAAGTTTGCATCTTATTGCAGTCATCTGCAGTATGATGTTAGTCCCCTTTATGTTTCTCCTGGGTAACCACCTCAATCCAAGCCACTGCCCCTGCTTTTTTTCTCTTTCCACTTTTCTGCAAGCACTCAGACCTCTCTGTACTGAAATGTTGATAATAATATTAGAAGTTTCATCAGCTTCCAAAATAAGGTTCCTATATCAAGTTTTGTTATAAACATAGCACAAGGGACTGAGGATGTATAGTGTGAAAAGCTGCATATTCAAACACAAAACAAACAGATGACTGGGCACGGATGTATGTGATCCACCACATTCCTTGACACGCTGTTTCAGGAAAGGGAAGTAGAAACACAGAATCATACAATTGCTCAGGTTGGAAAAGACCTTAAAGATCATGAAATCCAAATGCAACCTAACTGTACTACCCTGTTTCTGGTAGGATCAAGAGCATAGACTTGCAGTAGAAACTTTAGAAGAAGTTATATGAGAGTGGCTTAGAGATTAAAAACTGTAGCAACGTGTTTTAGGAGTGTTTACTACTGCCAGCACTTGCCCCTTTCCAACTCCAGGAGCCACAAGGCAGAAGAACAACTCAACACATAATAGACCTGCTAACAAGGGGGGATAGGGGATATCCAAACCAAGAGCACGGTGCAAATGTAAGAGATGCCAGTGCCACAAGGCACTCCTTCTCTGGACTTAGTATTTAAAGAGCAGCAGTCAGAATACTTTAGAAGAGCAATAATACTGCCTGCCAGTAACACTTTCTAGCCAAGGATTTTACAGCACTTCATCATTACTTATATATTCAGTCTCACTGACCCCCTCTCAATCATCATTGGTATTTTAAATAGACAGGAACATGAAGGGTACAATAATCAGCTTACAGTCACCTAGAACTACACTGTGCCCATTCAAAAATCACAGAATCACAGAATGGCTCGGGTTGGAAGGGACCTCAAGGATCATGAATCTCCAACCCCCCTGCCACAGGCAGGGCCACCAACCTCCCCATTTAATACTAGACCAGGCTGCCCAGGGCCCCATCCAACCTGGCCTCAAACACCTCCAAGGACGGGGCATCCACAACCTCTCTGGGCAGCCTGTTCCAGCACCTCACCACTCTCTCTGTAAAGAACTTCCCTCTGACATCCAACCTAAATCTTCCCTCCCTCAAATGAAAACCATTTCCCCTCATCCTGCAGTTACCCATCCTTTCAAAGAGTTGATTCCCCTCCTGTTTGTAGGCTCCCTTTATGTACTGAAAGGCTGCAAACCCTGAAGCTTTCTTATCTCCAGGCCCAGCTCCCTCAGCCTGTCCTCATAGGGGAGGTGCTCCAGTCCCCTGATCATCTTTGTGGCTCTCCTCTGGACCCTCTCCAACAGCTCTCTGTCTTTCTTGTACTGGGGGCTCCAGACCTGGACACAGTACTCCAGATGGGGCCTCACAAGAGCAGAGTAGAGAGGGACAATCACCTCCCTGTTCCTGCTGGCCACCCCTCTTCTGATGGAGCCCAGGATATCATTTGCTTTCCAAGTTGCAAGAGCACACTACTGGCTCATGTTAAGCTTTTCATCTATCAAGACCCCCAGGTCTGCTCTCAAGGACCGCTCCTTCCAGTCTGTATG